ATTAATTAGAATAATGAAATAAGTTGATAAAATCAAAATTTTATTAAAAAAATTAGACCTCATAATAATATCTATATACATTGCAAAATGAATAAGGAAGCTATAAATAGATTCTAGAGAAATAATAATGCATTGAGAGGATAATAAGATATAGATTTATATCTTGCCTAATGAGAGGACGATGGTAAATGGTTTTAAGCTCTTATTGCCAGAAAAGACAAACAACCTGATTAGCCTAACCCCTTGTCCAATAAGACACAAGTGATAAATAAGATGATTTTTTCAAAAAACAAATAACATATAACTTATATGTTACAAGAAAATAATAAATATACAACTAACTAAGATCATCAAAATATACGATACTTCATAAATGATTGAAGACCTAGAAATTTTAGCAACTTCAAACCAATAAATGCTCAATTTGACGACAAGAAAATCAAATTGCTTCTTCCCGAAGGTTATGGTAAAAATGTCGGCGATTTCGACTGTTGTTGGCACATAAGATGGAGACGAAATGACAATCAACCTTGATATGTTTTGTTCGTTCATGAAAACTGAGATCTTGTACAATATGCAATGCACACTTCCTGTCATAGAAAAAAGGAATCGCCTTTGGATGATGGATGCCCAAACTCAAAAGGAGGTCTTTTAACCATTTTAATTCATATAAGATGGAAGCCATAGAGCGACACCTAGCCTCTACAGATGAACGGGGAACTATATATTGTTTCTTAGATTTCCATGAAAACAACAAATGCCCCAAAAACACAAACCAACCAGAAAGAGTTCACCTAGTAATTGGGCAAGTTGCCCAATCAAAACCACACCACCCTTTTAATGATAAGTTGCTATCAGAGTGAAAAAGAATGCCTTGACCCAGGAAGTCGTTTAGGTAACGAACAACCTGAATGCAAAATCCCAATATTCTTGCTTGGTTCCAACATAAACCAAGACAATATATTGACCGAGTATGTCAAGTCGGGATAAGTTACCATCAAATAAATAATTCGTCTTAGCAGACGTTTATAAAGTCTGGTAAATAAATAATTGTGGCTTGTGCCAGCCAATGATTTTGTTAGACTGGGAAGGAAGCGGGATTTGCTTCGTTAGTCCGGTTTTTGTAATTATATCAAGAGCATATTTCCATTCACACAAAATATGCCAAAAGAGCTTAATGCCACCTCAATACCAAGGAAATATTGTAACGCACCTAGATTCTTTATATGAAAACACTTGCACTAATATGCCTTGAAAGTCGTCATTGAGGTAGAATTGTTACTAAATATATATCACAACCTTCATCTTATCAAGATCAATTTTTGAAGTATCTTCAGGCGGGGAGAGAAATTTTTCCAAACAAGGCATGAAACAATTGATGTAATATAAAATAAAATAAAATAAATATTAATCGTAAAAATCATAGTTTCATTACAAATGATATAAAAGGGTTCTTCTTTTGCAACATCCAAGTCAGTTTTTTCTTTTCTACTGTTGTTACCAAAAAAATTAAAAAAAGAGTCGAAGAACTTTGAAACAGTGACCTATAATACCATATGTAATAACATCACTTTGTTAAGTTAAGAGAACACACATCAACTTAAAGCGGATGAACCTTTAAGCCCGAACAAAATGCCTTTGTATGTAGGTCCGCCAATATAGGTCATATGCTATATATATATATGCATCTACCATGATATCTCTATGTCATATGAAAGAAGTTTTTATGTCAATACCTGACTTCCAATCTTCTGCTAACTTGCCTTCTAAAACCATGCATTCTAGACAAGCAGGTATATCATCATAGCACAAAAAATAATCTGTTTATATGTGTTGACAAACAGAATTATTTGTCAGACTGAAGTTGTATACTTGCTCTTCGACTAATCCGTATTTACAGATCTATACCATGCTCCTACGCCATAAGCCCATAACAACCCAAGTATATGTAGCACTAAGAACTTAAAGAAGTGATCACACAATAGCTTTTACTAGAGTTATCAGTTGTTCAAATTTCCATATTGTGGTTTTCAATATTCTCTTATGGTAAAGTAATAGTTCTATTGCATGTTCTTATTTCTACTCATTTCCTTTTTGAATTATATAATATTTATACACAGCAAATACTTGTGCATACTCCTCATCTCTTTAATGAGGTTTGAATCCTTGACCTCTTTGGAGGCTGGGTCAACAGGTAATTCATGTACCGTTGGGCCAAAGACCTTTTTGTTTATTTCTACTCATTGAAATTACAATACAAGCTTAGTGTATGGTTACAAACTAAAGAGAATATGTGCTACTCTTACCAGCATGAAGTCGGTGATTGATCGATATCATAAAGCAAAAGAAGAACAACAATTGACAAGCCCAATTTCAGAGGTCAGGGTAAGCTTAGTTCCTTCCTAATTTAAGTAACTTGAACTTTTACCAATTATAGTGTGAGACACGAGCTTCTTGAGTCCACTATTCAAGCTATATTACCTAGAACAATGAAGGACTACTTTAACACCCCATGAGAAAATAAAAGGAATGGTCCTGTCTTTTCGGGTTATTTAGCTAAATGACCTCCTTAAGATGTTTTTTTCAAATCCATGACTGTCAGACATGTTTCTAGGCATTCTTGTGAGTGAAAGTCACATTGTTTTTTTTAAGCAATGACATTCTCAAACCTGTCAAAAGGTTATAGATTTAGAGAAAAAACCTTTCAGAAGGTCATTTAACCAAAGGACCCCGTTTTTTCTACTTGCAACTAATACTCCAAATGTTTGTCTATATAACACATTCAGTTAGTCGTTTTATATTTATTCTTATCATGCTTCTTGGTCCTTTCATATAACATATTCACATACACCCCTTCCTGTAAATCTCAGAAGACAAATTAAAATAATTTTGCACAAGGAACTTGACAACTATTTTGGAAAACATCTCCTTTGTTAACTACAACATACCACTTTATGCTTGCCAAAATTTGGTCACCGTTGACATTTAAAATAGCCCTCTTTTCTTTTGGGACATAGAAGTTGTAATGTGGATTTCTCTTTTGGGCCTGAGTAGAGTTGTTCAAGTTGCCAATCTACAAATAGTTTTGGAAGCTTTATGTTTTTAGAAAGGGTCAACAGATTTGACTAGCAACTACTGTTATGATCAGTAGCATTTAACAAGTAAAAGTACGTAAACGTGCATTTTGAGCCAAAGCAAGCTAAACACCATACAGAAGTAATCTAGAGCCAAGTATAATAAGGAATAATCCTGATCCACATGTAATTTGTACTTCCAAAGTTGGAGCATATGCTTTGCCAAGTTGCACCAAACATAAATAGAGGTAAAATCTCTGAAACAGAAAAAACAGGACCCAAAACTGAAAACATAAAATTCTAAGGGTCAAGACCGAAATGGACAAAAGAAGGAATTAAGGAAATGTCATAGTAGATTGCAATCTGGATTGATCCTTAAAAATGTCATTGTGAAACCATTCTCGGGTGGACATGACCTGGAAAGCCACAATATATCCAACATGGCAGTATCAGATCATATTGGTCCATGGGTTCGATGATCTTTATCTAACCATTAGGACAAATCAAGAGACCTAAAGTAGGATCGCAGAATCCGGAGCAGGCATCGGCTAATAAATAAGGGGCACTGTTGGTATTTACACACCTAAAATAGGTGAGTGAACCTAGGTGAGTGCAAAAAGGTCCCAACAGAGTTTGGATTGGCCTAAACTACAGATTAAACGCCTACGAGAGGTGCGCCTAGTCATTTGAATTGCAAGTAGCCAGCAAAGCAAAAAAGAAGAAGAAGCAACTTGTGCTTGTAAGAAGCTGCCAGATTAGACAACTAAGGTGGAGCAGTTTGGAAAGCCTGATAATGTTGTTTGGTGGCGTTTGGTGGTGTTCTATTCTGATGGAGGCTAGGGTTTTTGGTCATTGAAGTCTTGGCTCTATACCATGCAACAATTAGGTTCAAAAGCTTAATTCTGGTAACTAAAAAATATTAGTTTTGAATCAAAAACAAGCTAACATAATCGGAAGTAATTCTAAGCCTAGTATGACTAAGATTAATAAACCTAGGCCAAATATACTCTTCTAACAATTGATTAGATATTCATTCAGATAGATTTAACATACCGAGCTTGCTTACTAAAAATGAAAACCTTTTCTCATCGAGTGGTTTTGTGAAAATGTCAGCAAGCAAAAAATCTGTTTGTACAAAGTGCATTCAATTAACCCTTTTTCAACATTATCTTTGATAAAATGATACCTGATATCGATGTGTTTGGTTTTAGAGAGTTGAACTAGATTAGTTGTTATAGCAATAGCGCTATTTGAATCACAGTTGATAGGGACTTTGTTGAATGTATATATGTAGTTTTGTAGTTGTGTCTTTATCCAAAGTACTTGTGAACAACAACTGGCTGTTGCGTAAGCCTGAATCTCGAAGAACTATTCAATATGGTAATTGCTAAATCAAGTAAATATGACATGACTTAATCCTTTATGAAACAACATCCCTATATGCAACAAAATCATACTGTGTCTAGTACAACCATAATCTAGAGCAAGACTGAGATGTATTTGCACAACCCAACATTGGGTATGGTTTAGGTTCAAAAGTTTCTGCAGGACTAGAGGTACATCTTAAATCCTTTCCTTTCTTGAAAACATTAATATTTGCTGATAAGATTCTGCGACCCTACATTATCTCATAACCACAAATTTATTGTATCTGTATCACCTCAGCTTCAGATAAACAAATTGATATCTGAATTTTATCTCCACCAAATTAGGGGATCAGTTTCAACAGAAATCTATGTCGGTTCAACTTCTTGAACAAAATCTAAGGCATTTCAGCTTTTTCACTTGATTCTCAATGGTAGTACTATAAGCGATATGTGTAAATGGGACAAAAAAAGATGTATTATAGTAAGCCATTATTCCTGTTTGGGAAGCAGGGAACTTAAGGAGTGTTCACTTTTGAGGAGCCATACAGAAAGATAGGTGGATTGAGCACATCAAGGGAAATCTGAGAGATAAGGACACATGGACAAGTTACACACAAGAAGCAAAGATCAGGGGAGCCGTTCCATTGCTACTTGTAAGCTAGACTTGCCTATCTGATTACCTTAGTAGTGGATGGGTAGGCGGTCAAAAAAGGTTATTTCCCAAGCTTAATGGGTGCTCCACCTGATGGACATCTCTTTCTTTGAAAATTCAGACCTTGAACTTGGATAGTTTCCTTCGCTTCCAGGTTCTTTTGTTGCTAAACCAATTAAAAGAATTGTGGTATACTTTCACCTGATTCATGAAAACTTATCATCCTCCCAAGGTTAACTAATCACATAATTAGAGCCATACTTGTCAAACGGTCAAGTCAGAATCTTGTTTTAGTGAATCAGGAATTATAAACTGTATCAATTGTAAGATTCATTTCACAATATTCAAAACATCAGTTGTAAGATTCATTTCACAGTACTCAAAACATTCAATACTTTCAGTACTGGCGAAGCTTTAATTGAAGACCCTTCAGTGCCGTTTCGTTTGGTACATCCAATAATGAAGACATATAAGTTGATTATCAACCATCAGGGCAAATGTTTGAGTTTCACATGATCATGTTGAAGTTTTCGCTTATTCACCGATGTCTCAAGTTAAATTTCTACTATATTATGATAGTAATAATAAATAGCTTCTAACTTAATTTTCTTCAGCTAAACAAGAATAACTTTAGATTAATAAAATTTATAGTGGGATTTCCTCCTGGGCTAAGAGAAGACAATTTTTCTAAGAACTACTGGAAATAGATACACATAGCCAACTGAAAAACATGAGAAACCCTCTCAGGAGTGGCAACAAGCTCCAAGAGAAACCCTTGACGATGTTAGCAGAAGAGAACAGGGGTAAAGAGAATGAGAAAATGGTAACTAGATGTACTGGAGCACCATGAGACCAAGAAGACATAAGGGGAAATCATGTGTTATAGAAGGCCGACTATGGGACCAAATTTGTTAAGTAACTACCATAAAACAAAAAACTACAATTCAACTTGCCTACTTTGTTCTCTCTCCTTAGATTTGTAATTGCAACTCAAAATATTTTCAACACAATCCAAACATAATCTAATCCACTCAGTTTACTTATTGTCAAGGTTTTAAAAGGCGAATCGGGCCTCGAGGCGTTTTCCGTCAACGAGGCGAGGCATAAGCCTCGAGGCGGAAATATAGATACATCATAATACGTATATATACTACACAAATATATATATATATATATATACACATTTGTATATATATATTATATATACTACTAAATTACTAAGAGGCATTAGTTCAGTGGTTCTTGACAAGAGAGAGTGAAACTGGTTGAGAGAGTTTGGAAAATTTGGTTGCTTGGAGGAATAGGAAGAGTCCAACCAAAATTTGATTGAGAGGAGAAAGTGCCAGCATTTTGGGTTTTAAAATATTAAAAATACGCATTGGGGCCATTGTGCTTTGACTTTTAGTTTTAAAAATATAAAAAGACTAGTAGTATAAAGAGAAGTACTACTAATGCCATAAAGCTTATGAAAAAAATCAAAAAGAACCATTACCAAAGTAGATCATCTGAGGCGAACTCCTCGACATGGCCTTACGCCTCATGCCTCACGCCTCACTGAACCAAGGCGTAAGCCTCATCCAGGGTCCAAGAGGTGTTGCCCCAGGTGCGGTTTTGGGCTGCCTCACCTCGAGGCACGACTCGAGGCGTAAGCCTCAAACAATTTTAAAACCATGGTTATTGTTGTTATCTTTGTAGCCTAATCAGTTACTAATAAAATTGGGTTTGTAGTGTGCAAAAGCTATTTACAACCCAAACCCAAACCCAAACCCAAAACAGAAAGTTGCCTAGATAAACTCCAAGTCAACTAAGACCCTGAGGAAGCTAAAGGTAGTCCTCTAGCAAGGGTTATAAGGGGCTCATAGTCACAATCCATCATGACATGTTACAAACTCTCTCAATTATAAAATAACGTCCTCGCCAGGCCTGAAAAGAAACCCAAGACAATCTTCACCAAGCGGTGCATGAGAGGAACCTACAACACCTTGATAGGCTATCACACGAATACAATTTGTTATAACCCAGATTAAAGCTGCAAACAGACCAAACAATTTCCAAATGAGAACCATGGTGGGACATTATTTGAAGCCCGTCACCAAAAGCTTGTTTCACAATTTGCGTTAAACAACCAATGTTGCACGATCTTATAGATCCACCTCTCATATGGTATACTTCATCGGTTTCTGATTTCCAGGGAGTACATTTCATTCGTTTTCCTCATTTTCTCGGGGAAAGAAAAAAAAGAACAACTTTCTACCAAACCAGGAACTTGAAATCAACCCATCTATCACTAAGGTTCGGTATATTACTTCCTCCCTGAATGAGGCTTTTATGCTATTAGCCTAATTTTGAATCCAGAACCCAAAACCTGTTTGTTGTGGCTTCTATCCTATTAGTCACCTTTTGAATCCAGAACCCAAAACCAGTGTTGCATTATCAGCATGCCTACTGTCAATTTCAAAGAAGGTAGTAGAGGACAAAGAGTTATATGACACTTCTGTAATTCGTGATGTGTTGCTAGTTCTAAGAAAGTATTCCAACTTACATAGACATTACACTGCCAAACAACAAGCAAGGAACTGTGCCTGCTACATCAAACTTATGGCGCTCAGAAAGAATGAAAACAGCATACTTTGAATGATGAACAGGAAATCCCTTCTCTTTTTCATTGACGGGTTGGAACACGTAAGTGGAAGCAAATGGGCAATCGGCTACCTAAAGGACCCCATTTGTGGTTTAAGGCTAAGTTCATTCTTTGATGGAGAAATATATTGAAAACAGAGTTGCATTTAGTAGCGCCAGCGCCTCATCCAAATGGAACTTGGAAAGCGAGATAGGGCCTAACTGGGAGACGCTCAAGTCTTGTTGCATTTCATTCATACAGGGAGCTCCCCTTGGAACTTGCAAGGCATATAGAAGAAACAATGGCTAAATCCATCGAACTGTGTATTTGGGAGAGCCAAGGATTGCTACATCCTATTACTAGGATTGAATGGCAGTAGCAAGCTTGAAATTGCTTGTTATTGTGCACTATAAGTTTCTTTGTGGGTTAAGCTTATATTATATTCAACCAAATTAGGTTACTCTTAAGGTAGGATGTTGAAACAATGGTAAGGTACCCTTCTAGGGAAATACCTTTGTGAGGGGAGTAGTTGCATATATCATAACCTTCTCAAACAACAGGGCTGGTCTGGAGCCTTGGTGGAAAATTATACCATGTCTTCATGACCCCAACCCATCTATCTAAGATAAACTCCTGAGACCTAATACAAGAGTTTTCTGACAACAATTTTACTTTAAACAATAGGACTGGTTGTAGAATTTTTCTGTTCTATCAGAAATCAGCTTGAACCAGTATTCCTACCTTTTGTTACATCCAAACTGGATCATATAGATAATAACCTACAGCTCCTGAACCAAAGTGTAAGTTTTTGTTTTCCATCCTGTCCTATTACTCTCAAACTTCCCTCATAAAGCAGTGTGATCCTGACTGTGAAAGAAAAAATACATCACTTCCTTGAATAGACTCTAATTACCTCCATAAGGGAATCGACTCAGTGACTTATGGCTGCTCTGTGTAATCAATACTGAGTATCAGATCATGAGCATGAATCGTAAGGCTTCTGATATTACCTGATAACTCTGCATAAGTTGGCAGATGTGTTGAGCAGCAGAATTCCTCACACGGATGACTGACATAGTGACTGCATAAAGAGTACCTCCTGTAGTTGTCCATCTCTATATCTTCTATACTTTATTTAAAGGTCATTAAAAGACATGCAAATTGTTCTGGAATTAGGAAAGCCAGAGGAAGATACTGATTTCTGAATGCCCAGCTCTGTGTCACTCAGCATACATGCATCATACATTGCTCTTCTTTCCCAGCTGAGAGCACGGTGGAAAAGTCAAAAAACAAAAGCATCCAAGAGGCAGCACTGCTGAAACTTTCCCATTGAAAAATAGTTCGTTTTCTTAACAGATCACTCTTCAAGTCAACACATAGCATGGCATCAAAAACAACATGAAAAGTCTGGGAAGTGGCTCACAGCTGAGTCCCAAATTTCATATGAAGATGCTACTGAAAGAAGCAATTTGATGCCATAATATTTTTTGAAGTGTATTAAGCTGCTTCCTTCATCCAGGAACCACCAAGACCAGCACCAAAGCTAAAGGACAAAGAAGCTGCATGTTTCATGGGCAAGGACCAGAGTCAGGAACCCCTGCAATTGCTGGTAAGATCCATCCCAGAGAAGCAGTAAACCTATTCATCATATTACTTGTCTGTTCCCTTTCCTCTTACTAATGCACCAATAGAGAGCAACTGAGAAAACACAGATAAAGTAAATACCCTATCCGAGATTGCCAATCTTGTGATAGCAGCCTCTTATATGTAATCATCCATCACAGTTCAGTCTTATCTAAGGTAACCCTTAGAAGGTTTTACAGTTGAGGCGAAGTCACTAAATTTTCCTACAAGGGTTCAACCAGAAAGTATCTGATCATGGATAAATAATTAATTATCTGCCCCTTACTTCCAAGATTTTCCTAAAGCATCACTTTCATCAAGACAATGCATAAGTCGGTCAAAAGCAGCCATGATATGTTAAGAAAACAAAATTTCATTGTATGTTTATAACATCTGCATTTTTCTCCTCCTACTTATCCTTCCTATTTTAATCCAACCTTGGAACTAATGGCAACCTCCTGTTTCAATGGTTATAGCACTTGAGGGGCATGATAGTTATTGCCAAAAGCCTATTTTGGATGAGTGTGTGCATGTGTTGATGAGGGTGAAGTCCAGTGATTAATCATTGAACTTAACAATAAAGTGATCGTTTTTTGGGAAACTTGAATTACGGGAACATCATAGACTCAATCTCTCTGAACTTCAGCCCTAGGTTTTGGACCATATCCAATTCAGTTTCCACCAGAACAAACTAGGACATAAGTAGGATCTCTGTCATATTAGGTACATACAAAAGGAATGTCGGATTTTTCCTATGGGTATGTTCAAACAAGACAGCTGAGGTACATAATTATGTTCTAAGAATGCAGATGGAGCAACCAATAGTGGGATATGCCACCACCAAAGGCTAGTTAATGGTTTACACTCTTCACAATTTTGGATAAGGAGCATGACCCTAGTAACACAATGTGATGGTGGCATCCAAGTGTGGCAGCAGGATGCATAAATCTGTTTTACCAAAGCATAAAGATAGGCAAAATATTAAGACGGGATTCAGCATATCAGCAATGTGCAGTTCTACAAAATATCAACCATTGAAAGAGCTCCCCTTCTGCTGCGAATTAGTGAAGATAGGGTTGTATAGAAATTAGAAAATATACTTAGGGGCTGTTTACCTAATTACTAGGTGTCACTTACCTTCCGGGTGAACATGACAAGCACATGCAACCTTACCTGGTAAGAGGCATAGCAAAGATGGAGAATATTACCCGGTAAGTGAGAGAGAAGATTCTTGCCCGATAAGCACTTACCGGAAAAAAGACGCTTACCAAAGATCAATTTTGATAGCCGAGAACTTTACCCGATAATGTAAGTGAGTGCACGCTCTTGTGGGTAAGTGCTTGGTAAACGGCACTTAGAATTATAATAGGGACTCTGTTAGGGGTACGAATGACCATTGATGTCAATGGTTGCTCGATATAAACAGTCGTGTATACTGTAACGGCCAAAAATGGACTTCCCTACAAGCAAACAGGTATCATTTCAATGAAAGGGTCGGTAGGTTAGAGAAAGTATGAAAGAGAGAACACCAAGAGGATACACAAATAATGCAATCCCTTGTTAACCCCAAAAGATGACGTATGGAGGAATCATTCACCTACAGCCATGGTTTTAAAAATCCTTACGCTTCGAGGTGAGGCAGCCTAAAACCGCACCTGAGGCGACGCCTCTTAGACCCTGGACGAGGCTTACACCTTGGTTCGGTGAGGCGTGAGGCGTGAGGCGTGAGGCGATTTCGAGGCGTGCACCTCAAATGATCTACTTTCGTAATGGTTTTTTTTACTTTTTTTATAAGCTCTATGGCATTATAGTACAAGTCTTTTTGTATTTTTAAAAACTAAAAGTTAAAACACAATGGCCTCCACATGTATTTTTAATATTTTAAAATCCAAAAAGTGTGGTTGACCCTTCCTCTTCCTCCAAGCAACCAATTTTTCCAAACCCTCTTATCCTGTCTCACAATTTCACTCTTTCTTATGTCAAGAACCATTGAACCAATGCCTCTTAATAATTTAATATTATATATAATATATATATACAAATGTGTGTGTGTATATATATATATAGATATTTGTGTAGTATATATACGTATTTTGGTGTATCTATATTTTCTTCGCCTCGTGCTTACGCCTCGAGGCCGCTTCGTCTCATTGACAGAAAACGCCGTGAGGCTCGATTCTGGCTTTTAAAACCTTGCCTCCTGCTTCAGCTCTCCAACAAGGAAAAAAGGAATTTTGGCCTTGAAATTTAGGAACGAATCTAAGATGCAGAATAGCACTAAAACAAGTAAAAAGGGGAAATTGGAGCGAGTGGAATTAAGATAGCTCATCCATGTCTTAATATTCCTTGGAAGTAAAGAAAATATATTCGCTCCGCTACAACCCAATCCCAACCCTAGCTCTGCACTTTCATCCAAGTTCACAAATACTCTCATTTATCCAACACTTCCTTTGTTCAACTAACATACTCCAAATTAAAGCTCCTTCAAATGCAATACAAAAGAAATTCACTTCATCAAGATGGAAAAACTTGCCTAAACGTTCATACATGTCATCCTGGTGGATTTATTGATTTCCATGGACCAATTTCTCCTTACTCTGATGGTCAAATTAAGAATTTCGAAAAATAAGGGGATTAATTAACTTGTTTTCATCAATTGACTTTCTCATTTAGGAGCTAATCTTTTCAATCCTTCATGAGTTATTTTGAAAAAGTAATCTTAACAAAATGATGTGATATCAAATTTTCACTTCTAATATATTACATGATTTAGTGACAAATTATGTTGAACAAATTCAAATAAACCGTTTATTCATCCACTAAAAACATCCTCTTGATCCTCGCTTAAAAGATTAAGCACTAGAAGGTAATTTGACTGTCTAGTTAAGGCATTTTAGAACATCAAAATAGGAAAGGTCATATCTTAAAACATTTGGACGGGGTTCAAATGGTTATTGCACAATGCAACAAATAGTAGAGGAATATAATCCATAACAAGCCATGATGGATCGCAAGTTCAAATCCTTCTAAATACAAACTACATTTAACATCACACTTAAGGTTTCAACTCAAATCCAATTTAGCTATTAACAGATGTGACCCAAAGTCATGTGCATCCATCACTTAAATAGTATTTTTAGGATGTGGGATAATTACTCTAAACTCTCCACACAACCCCCTCATATGCATCCACCCACTTACGGTTTATAAGTAGCATGTCACTTGGGGTGGCATAGATTATAGGTGTTGTCTGATGGACCATGGAATATTAACATAGGGGCCGTTTACTAAACACTTGCCTTGTTAAGCGATAATCGGTTCATTTACCTTACCCGGTGAACATAACAAGGACTAACAATCTTACCCATTAAGAGGGACGACAAGGATTGAGTACTCGTTAAGTGAGGGTGATGACTCTTACCCCGTAAGCGCTTATAGGGTTATAACCGCTTACCATCAATCCATTTTGATGTCAAGAATGTTACTCCATAAGGTAAATTAGAGTGGTAACTCTTGTCAGTAAGCGCTTACCTGGTAAGAGTTTGGTAAACGGCCCTTTACATTAAACCTCCAACAAAACAAACCAAGTACAAGTGATGTGGTCTAGGACTATACACACACATATATATGATACTTAAATGGTACATTCCAGATCTGGGATCACTCATCTCCACATGCCCCCTTCACATATAGCATCCTCTTAATACTTAGACATGAACTTGTAAATGGCTGATGCAGACTCCGGCACAAGGGTCATTGGACCTCCAGTATGTGTAAAATAACCATCCTTGATACAATGAAACGAATTAGGGTCTGTTTGGTTTCACGGAATGTTTTTGAGGGATGTGAATTTTGTAGAAGGATTTGGAATTTTTGGTGTTCTTGGTTTGTAGGACTTGGAATGGAATTGAATTCCATTCCTTATGAATAATTTATAAAAATAACTAAATTACATTTTTATTAACTGATTATTACAAACCAAATGTTTTTAAGTTTTAACATATTTTAAAACATTATTATAAACCGATCCTATGAAATCCTGCGAAATACCAACCACCCGTATGGATTTCTAAAGAAATCCCATGTTTGTGGGATTACATTGAAATCCTCGGATTTTAATTCCAAAGTTTCCTTTAAACCACATGCAGGATTGGAATGGAATCCAATTCCAAATCCCTGCAAACCAAACCGGCCCTAAGGGTTTTGCTTATGTTGCAACAGGTTGAAAGTGATATCAATACTAGGAAATGAAGGTTGGAGCCAAAGCAACTTAAAATCGAACAAGGAAGTATCTAAAAATCCTTGCTCTAATAAGAATAAACCTAAATATGATGACTTCTAACACTAAAAAAATCAAAGAAGCTACATGGTAACTTATCTTCTGCCAAGTATTGGTGATGCTATGGGAAAATTATTTATGGAACAACAAATAAAACTCTACATCGACCTCACAAGGCTATATATAAACAATATATTGGACAAGAAAATATCAACTAATTCACATAATGAAACAAAAACAATAAAAAGAAAGAAGAGTTGAATGTTTGCAACAACCCAAAATGTAAAGTTTTCTGCATTTTTCAGGTCAGAGGAAGTAAATTGTTTATTGAGCAACATATTTTATACATCACAGCATAAAATCTAATTCAAATGCCAGGATAAAATGCACACAAAACCTCGGAGTACAAGTTTATAAGCAACCATGATACCATCTAGAAGCACAATCTTTATAAAACATGACTAGTTTTGACAACAAATGATTGAAATGCTATTCTCCTTAATTAAAGAGCTTTTGATCATTTTGAAGCCAGATTTATAACCCAATTGAACTTACAGTATTTTCCAGTTTCATTGTAGGTGGTTGAAACATAAGTACAGTTTCTAAATGCTTCATCCCTTCTTCCTACCACTGAAAGTTCTCCTAATAATAATTTTTTACCGAAATCTAATCTGAAAGTTCTGATTATTCTTAGCCTACGAGTACACAGTTAAACTACGTTGCATACTGTTTTCGATTAGTTATGATGATTGCACAGAAGTCCCTGAAAATTTCTACTCAATATTTACAGTTCTGGCAAAGAGAGGCTGCAATGTTGAAGCAACAACTGAAGAACCTGCAAGAGAACCACAGGTACATCTTCTATCTAATAAGAAATATATGTGTATGCTGTTGACATGACTCAAAAAAGTGCAAAGTATTTAAAATAGTGATACAGACTATATTATTATCCAAAAAAGGGAACCTTTTTGAATTTCTATATGGGCAAAAGTGATGTGATACATTCATACTGTGACATTCAGCTTCATACAGCTTCAGATTGCTACCATCTATAATAGATGTTTTTTATAACAATATAGCAAACTTAGTCAACCATCTACTTCCCGTTTGAAATGGTAATGCCATTAAACAGACCTATTCCTAATTCTAGAAGAAATCCTAAATTAACTATAAGAAGCAATCCTATATTTGTAATGCAAACTAAGACATTGGTCCTCAAAGCAACTTGGGAATTCAATTGATTATAGTGATCATGTATATGCATGCCAAATAAATGATAAAAGTGTTGAACAAAGTGATTTCCCTTTTACATATTCTTCATGAAAGGATACTAACAGATGTGCGGAATATTGTCTGAACAAGATCGTCCTGTTGTATTTTACCAATATAGGCGAATGATGGGTGAAGAACTTTCTGGTTTAAGTGTTAAAGATCTACAGAGCATGGAGAACCAACTCGAAATGAGTCTCCGAGGCATCCGCATGAAAAAGGTTTGAAGCTATATATGATGCTAATCTTACATCCATTTGTAACCAAAAACTTGCATTATGACAACTCTTGAATTGCTAGGACCAACTTCTTTTCGAGGAAATCGAAGAACTAAACCGAAAGGTAAACCCAAAACCTAAGACCACTGACCAAATGAAGCCTTATAAAAAGTATCTTCAAGCATCTTTTCCTCTTGTTCAGGGGAATCTCATCCAGCATGAAAACGTGGAACTGTGTAAGAAGGTAAATCAAATTCGTGAAGAAAATGTCGAACTTTATAACAAGGTATTCGTCAGCATCCCCTTAAAAAATCTACGAATCCCACCAAGAACATCTTTCATTTCACAGATTACACCAGAAATACGAGCTATAATATATCATCACCTTCAGCAAGAAAGTGTTTTGCATCACAGGTTTATGGAATAAGGGATGCAGACCCCGCAAACAGAAATGTTTTTGCAACAAACGCTTCAAGCATAAGAGAGGATCCACATGCCCCCATCCATCTCCAGCTTTCCCAGCCAGACCCACACGAAGCAATTGAAGCATCACTCCGTTCTACAAATTTGGGGTAATTTCTAATTCATTTTCAATCATATCTATGGTAGCTTGAATGAACAATTACAATTTCTGCAGATTGCAACTACATTAAAGGATAGATGGGTTTAACTCCAAAGGTGGTGAATTGATTGCTTATCAACGATAAGCCCATCTAGTGTAAAAGCTATCTAGTATTAGTCAGTGGTTTCCAGATCATAGGCGATTCAGAAGGACATCTAGTGACGTGAATCAATCAAATTCAGTACACGGGGATAATCAAAAAGAACCAGCTGCCCATAAAAGGTTAATGAAGAAAATAAATTGAAGGTCAAAGAACTGCATAGTCGGGTGTGTTGTTTAGTTCCATGGATATTATGATTTCAGATTGAGCATTGAGATGAAAAACTGATATCGAAGGTATGATTTGTACTTGATTTGCTGAAGTCTGTGAAAAGGAATGTACATACTTATCTGTTGAACATTGCTAACCAAGAGAAACATGCTCACAATAAATACGATCTGCCACACAGCATGAAAAACGGTATAGATGTAACAATTTACCCGGTAAGCGCTTACCGTGGTAAGAGTCTTTGCCTTCACTTACACTCTTGTCCTTATGTCGATCTTGCCGGGTAAAATTCTTGGTCCTTACCATATTCATCCGGTCAGGTAACGTGTCTTGGTGTTAACTTACCCGAGCAAGGGCACCTAAAAATAGTCATAAACAATCATCCAGCATCTCTACAATTTTAAAGCAATCGCATTTGAGCAGATTGAATTTGAAGCAACACATCGAAACAATAATAGCCATTTTCCTATTTAGTTGAACGTTTAGAAATCATTTGTATTCTTGAAAACTATTAAATAAATATTTACTCCCATTCAAGGAGGGGTCCAAAGATTAAAAAAAAAGTGAAGTCGAGGGGGTAATTTTGGAAATATAATAAAGAAGGCAAGCAGAATCAGAATGGTATACGGCAGGTTCGTGGTTTTGATAGGGGATTTTCATTCAGTTTTTGTGTGATCTTTTGATCGTATAGGAGAGAAATGGGCTCTCGAATTCCTATCTAGTTTTTCTTCGATTCTTCATTGTAATCGGTCAAGTTTTACCATTAATACGATTGCAATAGTTTGGGTCTATCACAATGATGTTCGACTATGATTATCTAACAGTTAAAGATCATGTCAAAATTCTGAATCACATAAACATACGTTCAACACAATATTTCCAGCTCTGCACTAGACATGCATTTCAGAGAGTACTCTTACACAAAAAAAAAAATCATGTATAATCAATAGATCATTCACCAAATATACCAACATAATCTCCACTCTCATTCATTTTCTTCTCGTATTGTAGGAGCATCAGGTAACGATGAGGGGATGAAAGAACTTAACATGAACGTTTTTGCCGTGTAACAAACTATTGATTAAAGATATGATTCCTAATCCAATCGAAAAACATCAAGTTGGGACTATTTTTATAAATGGAGGAACTAATCTACTAATTACTCGATAATCATGAGCAAACCTGAACTTGCTACGAACACTATTTCTGGCAGTATCAGTTTCCTCCGTCCCAAGAACTTGTTTTTAGAGTCGAAGGGAATATACATATTTGTCAAATTTTGATATAAGCTAGATTGTTCAATATAAAAGAAGAGATAACTAACTAGAATCAAACTCCAAGTGTTAGTACTGCTATCGAAATAACACAACCTAAACCACAAGGGTGGTGTCTGATTGGTTTGAGCTTGGCTCCAAAGGTCAAAAGTACCAAGAGGTCCCAGGTTCAAATCAAAGGAGGAATAAGAATCCCCTTGTGGCTACGGAGGTTCAAATACGGTGACTCCAAGCTATCTGCAAAGTAGGTGGTCGTCCTGGGATTAGTCGGCTAGCATAGCGAATTGGATATCCAGGTTAATAAAAATAAAAAAATAAAACATCTCCAACAAAATAGAGAAAATGGAAATTCTGGTTTTGGGTATCTGTCCCAATAGATTCTCCATAATCTTTTCATTTTCCAGAAAGTAATTCGAAGAATTCCCAAAGATGATTTCAAAAAGAAAATTTCAAATTAAAAAAATATTTTATTAAATAAAATTTCTTTTTTTTTATTAACCGGGATATCCAACCCGCTATACGAGCTGATTACTCCTAGGGCAACCACCTGCTTTGCAGATAGCCCGAAGTCACCGCATTTGAATCTCCGTGGCCACCGGGTGATTTTTATTCCTTCTTGGATTTAAACCTGGGACCTCCCGGTACTTTTGACATTTAGAGCCAAGCTCAAACCAATGAGGCGTTTAAATAAAATATTTTAATAATATAATTAATGTTGTGAATTTTAGAGATTTGGAATTTTCATCTTTCATTTTCGAATTTTTTTGGAGGATTTCTATTTTCTAGTCCTGGATGTGTTTTCAATCATATTTTGATCCACAAAAGCATTTAACAAACAAACAAATCTTAAATTCATCTTCAAAAATATATCACAACACATCGAGACACAGTTAACAATGAATTACGATCAATTCCATTACACTTTACGTCACCAAATCGTTCTCAGAAAGTAGAAATTAAGCATATTATCTTCATTCCATTTCAAACAAAACTTTATCCAAATCAACATAAATCTACGCACGATTACCATCACTTTTGTGACTTTAATCTACTTCAGTTCATAACTAATCGATTCATCTTTCAGAATATGTACAAATTCACGAATTGATATTACCGGACCTCAAATCGGTTTCAAGTTAACATCAAAAAGCACATCGCTATATCGAATTTAAAGACGATCAAATGGTGTGTTCCATAGAAGGAGACAGAAAACCTACCTGTTCGCAAAGATGATGGAGAGAGAGAGATGGTGACTGTGACTCTGAGCAAGGACGGAAAAATATCTGGAAACAGTAGGAGGTGGGGGCATCGATGACAATCAATATAAAAAGGGGGAGCGCAGTTGGTCAATGGGTTACCCCTCCCCCACCAGATTTTGCATGACAATAAATTATTCACAAAAATTATTTTAGTCACCGATTTAGTTGGAAATTATGCAAATGAAATTACCTTCTATAATCCGATTTTCAGATTACAGTAATAGGAAAAATAAACATTTTACAAGTTATGTAAATGCTACTTAAGGGTTGTTTGTTTACCTCTTAATAGTTTCTTTAAGAGGCCGCCTCTAAATCGTTAAAAAATGAATTTTGTTTGGTAAAAAAAAAAATCTGTCTGTTAATGATTCTAAAACCCTTTGAATGATTTTGTATCATAGGCATCCCTTAACCATTAAGCGCCATAATTTCATTGTAAACAATTACCAAACAATTATATTTCATTTTTCACTATATTATGAGAATCTCTTAGGGGTTGTTTGTTTACCTCTTAATAGTTCCATTAAAAGGCAGACTCTGAATCACTAAGAGATGAATCTTGTTTGGAAAAAAAAATCTGCATCTTAATGGTTCTAAAACCCTCTATATGATTTTGTATCAGGGGTCCCCCTTTAACCATTAAGCGTGTTAATTTCATTGTAAACAATTATCAAACAATTATATTTTATTTTGCATTATATCATGAGAGCTTCTTAATCATTCTGCACCGAACCATTCAGCAACTACCAAACAGACCCTTAATCATTCTGACCATTTAATCATTTTGCACCAAACCATGTAGCAACTGCCAAACAACCCCTTACCTAATGCAGTTATGCTCACATGGATTCTTCATATTTACTTGGGGGCCGTTTACTAATCGTTTACCCGGTAAGTGTTTACCGAGCAATTTTTCTCACCAGATTAACTTAGCAAGGGCCAAAAATCTTACCTGGTAAGAGCGATGATTATGATGGAGAATCTTATCCGGTAAGTGAGGATGACGACTCTTACCCGCGTAAGCGCTTCCCGAGTAAATTGTTGCATAGGATATCGTTTTAATGTACTACAATCTTATCCGATAAAAAAATTATAATGTTGATTCCTACCGGTAAACACTTACCGATTAAATATTTGGGTAAACGGCCCCTTACACAACTTGCATAATACTCATTTTTCCTAAATTTCCGAAAAATGGATTACTCAAGTTATGTGATATCACTTGCGTAATTTCAGATTGAATCTGTCTGCGATCAAATAAGTATAGGAGTTTGATTTGCTACATCAATCAATTTCCCCAAATTATTCAAAAAATTACAAATTTAGTCCTTCAAACAATTGTATTTTCATGATTGAAGGTTGCCTTGATTGGATTTTATAAGGTTTCGAGTCTTATGATGAGTTCGCATAAAAGTGTCTTATTTTTTTAATGTTAGTAATGATGTCAAGGAGGCAATTTTTCCGTTCCAAGTGACTTCGTTCCCTATGGGTATCTTGGGATTCCAGTGTCGCCTTCGAAGCTTCAGGTAGAAGATTATAGAGGACTTATTACTAAAGTTAGGCATAGAATTTCCAATTGGAAATCTAAATTCCTTTCTTTGGGCGTCAGCTTCAATTGGTGCGATCAGTTCTAGGATCCTTGCAACTTTATTGGATGTTGATTTTCTTTCTGACTATTTCGATTACTAATTAAGTAGAGAGGTTGTTTATGGATTTTGTGTGGAGCAATGGTCTAAGTTCTAAAGGGAAAGCTTGTGTTTGTTAGGAGGCAATTTGTAAACCGAAGAGGAATGGGGGTTTGGTTTGGATATTCATCATCTTGGTGCCTGGAATCGTACTCTTCTTATTTCTCATATTTAGGATATTCTGTGGGGCACAAATCTTATTGGGTTCGGTGGGTGCATCTTTATCGGTTAGGGGTGCATCCACATTGGACAACTTCATCTTTTGTTTCTGGTTCGTGGATGTAGAGGAAGTTGCTTTATTTGTGTGAAGTTGTTCGACCTCATTTTCTTACGTTTCTTGGTGATGGTTGTGATACCAAAGCGTGGGAGGATTCTTGGCTATCGTTAAGTACTTTGTCAAGGGTGGTATAGCATAAAATGGTTTAACGTCTTGGTTGTTATCCTCTCTCTTCAGCTGGGATGTCATTTCTAGTCTTCATGGTGTTTGGCCTCATGATTGATTGCTGAGATTTGGAGATATGTATGCGCTATCTGTTCCGTTGTTGCAACCATATTGTGTAATGTGGCTTAATCATAATAGGCTTCGAGTCAGATTTACAATTACGGATGCGTGGAAGACGTTGGAAGGTCCTTTACTAGTGGTTGTCTGGCACACCTTAGTTTGGTTTCCCAAGCATGCTTTTCGTCTTTGGTTGGCGTTTCATCAACGCCTTCTCACTCTGGATAACTTGCTTGTTTGGAAAGAGGAGCCTCTTGATGGATATCAGTTGTTCAATTGTGTAGTCTGGGTTGTGACTCACATGATCATCTCTTTTTCGAGTGCTCTTACTCATCTCGAGTTTGGAGGAGGGTTAAGAATGAGTTTCAGATGGCTTCGGTAGTGAATCATTAGTCTACTATCCTTATTGATATTAGATTGCATTGTTCGCCATGGAGTTTTGTTGGTGTTCGTACTAAAGTGGGCTTGGCTGCAACCATCTATTACATTTGGCAAGAGTGTAACAGGTGTTTATTTACTAATAAAAATGTGATATGGAGCAACTTATGAAGGAAATCGTTCAGGTTGTTTCGATGAGGATGTTTAGGACTGTCATGCGTTGTGTGCAGCCTCATGTTGGTTGATTCTTTACGGTGTTGTTAGTTTGTCTCTAGACATCCTCTATTTCGCTGGAAGGTTGGTGCATTGGCGCGTGTTTGGGGTGCTGATGATTTGTATTTTGTTTATTATGTCTTTTGTTTCGGTATCTCTTTCATTATCTTTGTCGTTAGTTATGTGGTATGGAGGATGTTCCTTACCACTTCTGTTGGGCTTCGGGTGGGTAATCCACGTCGGGCAGGTGTATTTTTTTTTTCGTTTCTATTGTTTTGCTAGGAGTATTGTCTTCTTCCAGGAAAAAGGGAATATCACAATATGTTGTTATACAGCGTGCTCATGTGCATTGCAAATTTCAATATGCAAGCAAGACTAATTATCAAAAAAAATATGTTCATATCCATTCATTTATTAAATAAACGGACATAAAAGAACTTCCCGCCATATGGTTCATAAACAATTCGGTGAATGTTCCGTTCGTTTACAGCCTTATGGAAGACTCATTATCAACAAGACAAGAGCCCCTTAGGACTTAGCCCAGTAACCCAGACGACCACACATGACAAAACTTTATAATAATCAATTAGAAATTTTGAATTTTTTTCCAAAAAGAATTAAACATTCGTAAATCATAATATCACTCACAACAGCTCAGCAAGTTCAGTCAACAATAGAAAATCGGCCATTCGGGATTTCCATGTTCGATTTCTTGAATCTAGCTTCATGACTATTAATCGGCTGAAATGGAACGCCATGTCTTGAAAATCAGAATAGTCGAACTCTGAAGAACAATAGAAATCGCCTTGAGTTGTTGGAATGTTGGGTGTTCACCGCTTCACGATGCGCATTTTGTATCTATCACTATCATGCCTTAGGTCTTAGGCTTGTTTTTATAGTTAAAGCTCAGTTGTCTAATTTCTAAATTATTAAAACTAAAAATAGTAATAGATCATAACTTGATACTCTTCTGACCTTTGATGCCCCATATAATCGCACAAATTGCAGGTGGCCAGGACATGCAGTGATATTAACCTCTTTGTAATTTATATGCTCGACTCTGCCTATAATCGAACACTTTTTAAATCTTATGCTGTTAATATTATACATTTTATTTTTTATAAAATATATTTACAACCTTTATCTTCTCTTTTTTAGCATACAAGATAACATAGTTGTTTGAAACAAAAAATTACTAAAACCCATCTTTTCTCTATATTTGAATTGTTGTTGAAGATGCTCCAAACTCATAACTTTTACATTAAGAGGGTGTTTGAGATTTTGCTTATTTGAAACAACTTATGCTTTTCTATAAAAACACTTATCAACTTATTATAAGTCAGAAGGATTTAACTTCTTCAAAAACTCAGTATTACCGGTTTAGCACCGGTATAAGTTGTTTATTCAAACACTCAAAAGTGATTATTACCAGTACCACACCGGAATAAGTCAACAAGTTGTTTTTATAAGCAATCCCAAACACCCGATGGTAACCATAAATTTAGTTTTCCATTAAATTTCACTTCACATAAACATATGTTACTAAGAAATTGACACTTTAAAATCACTTAAATTTTGAGGGGAAAAAAAACAAGAAAAACATGAAGGTTTTTTTTGTTGTGAACAATGATGATACGAGGAAATAAGATCAAAATAAAGGACAACCATCGACCGATACCCCCTTCGCTGTCGGGCATTCGGCAAAATCACAATGTTGCGCGTTATCGGTCCCCCACCAATGTACGTTTATGTTCTCAAGCCCCGTCGAAAAATACAGTACAACCGCCATAAATGCAACTCCGGCATCAAGAGCCGCCGAGAGAATATAATTGTACCTCTTCCACCACATTTTCCGGTACCTAAACACGAAGAAGTTGAAAATGGTCCCCACTAATATCCACGTATTGTAATTCACGGCGGCCGCTGGCGGCATATAGGCGGTAGCACCGAGGAGCACCGGGAGATTAATGAGAGGAATCCACGATACATTTGGGAATGCTTTGTGACATAACCATACCACCACCGGGCCAAGGATCCCGCCTAAAAAGAACCAATTAAGACTACCATAGTTTCCTAGAGGACCGAAGATCCTTTTTGGCCCGACCAATCCCCAAATAACCGATGCATCGAAGAACACGTGGTCATTTGGGCACGTCCACGGGCTATTGGACTTCGGATCGGGGTGACATATTTGGTCGATATTGTTCAATAGGTACCACGCGACGCTTAAATTTACGGTTCCGGCTATTATTGTTCCAAGAAACTGCAATAACAAAACCACATGATGTAAATGGATCCGATATAACCGAATCGTCTTAAAAGCAAAACCCATCGAAATAAAATAAATTTTGGCTTAGGGGCCGTTTACCAAACAGTAAGTGCTTGCTGGTAAAATTTAACACTATTATTTACTACCGGGTAAGATTTTAGTCCACCAAAACGACATTGTATGCAACAATTTACCCGGTAAGCGCTTACCATGGTAAGAGTCATCGCCCTCATTTACTGGGTAAGACTCTTGGTCTTTGTCTCGCTCTTACCGGGTAAGATTTTTGGTCCTTACCATATTCATCCGGTGAGGCAACGTTACTTGGTAAGCGCTTACCCAGGTAAGTGTTTGGTAAACGACCCCTTAGTTACTATTTAGTGTAACGAAAAAAAATCTTGATTGATGTAAATATGTTACACGGTTTCATGATATTTAGTTACGTACCCATTTTGACAGGTAACATGTTGATTCTGTAACATTTGATGACATGGATGCCCGTTTAAAAAAAGGCATGCGAAATGTTTACAAAAGGGTATATCCACATCATCAAATGTTTTTTTTTATTAACCTGGATATCCGACCCGCTATGCGAGCTGACTAATCTCAGGCGACCACATGCTTTGCACGTAGCCCGACATCATCAAATGTTAGAAGATGACATAGATGTAACAAAGTATTAAAACATTTCTCTTTGTACCCATTTTGACCATTCGATGACATGGATACCCGTATATAGAAAAGGTTACAGTAAAGTGGACCATTAACTTGACATGATTTATGTCATCAAATGCTACAAGATCAGCGGGTTAGCAGTCAAAAAGTAAAAAGTGAATTTTAACCGTGACAAACTTTGCTGTATTTTGATGCATTTTGTCGTTTTTCTTTCCTTTAAATTTACGTACCTGAACCAAGAACATCGATCTTGGCGGGATTTTCATGTAATGGCCGAGCTTGAAATCGCTTAGAAATGAGATGGCTTGTCCCATGCTCATGTAGCCGTAGGTCTTGAAGCACACGTTCGCAATCGGTTTTCCGGGGTAGATTAATCCCATAGCATACTCCGTGATGATATTCAAGCCCGGAGTCTGGATACATCGACACAGAATGTTGACTTTCAAGAGTCAAACGGACTCGTTTTATATTTCAAATTCGATAACGATAACGTCTATTTGAAGAAAAACCTCGATAAATTACAAAAAGTATACGAAAAAGTTTACACAATAGACTAGTATTAGAGGTAATAGAGCTAAAAAAACCGATGTAAATTTTGAATTTCGAAAAATCGAGGTTTGACTTTGAATTTGACTCGAGTAGAGTTTGATCGTACCTGGTTTGTGGTTGCGGTGATGATGCTAATGGGAAGGGTGAAGAAGAAAGCAATGGCAGCCGCGAATATTAGCCCCCAAAACGGCATTTGTATTTGATCTTTCATGAAGATAGTGAGGGCGAGGCTAACCAAAAGCGTCACGGTAAGAAGCACGTAAAACCACCATGCCGGTATGTCTTTGTAGTTCTTCATAAGTCTCGTGTGCACGTCGACCTTACCCTTGGCGGATGCTTTGTAACGATGATATACCTCCCTGTTCGAAAATTACATCGTTTAACTTTAGTTATCTGAAAACACGTGGGACCCGTTAGATTAGTCAACGAAAGTGTTATTTAGGAAAGAATAGTGATTCCAATGGTCAAAGTCTATACAAACGTAGGACCCAACATGCCCCGAGGGTGTTGAGTCCATTTTAGTAGATATTTGGCTCTGATACCATGTTGAATACATGGAGCCTTATAGAATTATATTTGGTTCCAACACACATATAAGTATTATTTATATATAAATATAAATAGAGAGTTCATTTCAAATATAAACCACTGGAATCCTACAAACCATACAAACCAATCTTAACCGTCTGTGTAGATTATCAAATCAATGTCAACGACGTGGATTAAATCGGTTCAGGAATATACTCTCAACCTTATCTGCAATTGATTTAGTAACTGCCAAAATAATTCAAAATACACAAAAACAAAGGTCGAGATTGGTTTGTATGGTTAGTAATATTTACATGGTTTGTATTTGAAATACTCTCTCTCTCTCTCTCTCTATATATATATATATATGTATATGTATATATACTCTCTCTCTATAGAAAGATTTAAACAAGAACAATAACAAAATAAAAGAACAGAAAACGGTCAAATCATGTGCAAAATCACATGTGATTTTTACACTAACGATCAAGGGTGTGCAGGCAACATGGCTTGCGACCTCAAGTCGCATGAATCACATGTGATTTTACACTAAGAGGGTCCAAGTCTAGCCTACGTGAACCACAAGGGTGGTGCTTGATTGGTTTGAGCTTGGCTCCAAAGGTCAACAGTACCAGGAGGAATAAAAATCCCCTTGTGGCCACGGAGGTTCAAATGCGGTGACTCCGGGCTATCTGCAAAGCAGGTCGTCGCCCTGGAATTAGTAGGCTCGCATAGCGGGTTGGATATCCTGGTTAATCTCAAAAAAAAAAAAAAGTCTAGCCTACGTGGGAATCCAACACGCCCCCTCCAAGTGAGATTAGACCAGTACAGATGCCCCAAAGTGTCGAGTCTCTTTTAGAGATAGACCTTGCCTCTAATACCATGCATAATATATGTTACCCCATCAGATCATTCTCCAAAAGAGTACTTGATTAAAAAAGGGGTTCCAACATATATTGAGGAAAAATGGTCTAGCAAATGATGGACCCCACCAAACTAGAATTAATAAACACGAAAGAAACTTACTTTCCGTAGAAAAGACCAACATGAGTGATCGTAGATGCGATTGTAGCAAATCCAAAACCGTAAGTCAGAGCGAAAAACGTGCTCAAATTAACCTTCCCTTGCTTTGCATACTCATCGTAATCGATCTCAAACTTGCTATTCACGATCTTCGTGATATTATACAACTGACCATCTCCGGTGAACAAATCAGCCGAATAAATCGGGAAGTTCTTGGCATGGTACACATTAAATTTCCAATACGATAACGGAATCACCACATACATTATCATGAAATAGCCCAAGAAGACATTCACTATGGCAAAGAAAGGGGAAATAAGAGGGCTAAACAAGAACGAAGCCGTTGTGGCCCAATCGAGGGAAAACGCTCCAATGCCTAAGCCGGAGAACCCCGACCCCAGTTGGTGGGCCGTGACGGAATTAGGAAATGCCCAACATATCCATGAAATGCTTTGTAGCGTTTGAAAGAAGTATCCCGGAAGCAGATAATAAAAGAAACTACAAGCAAGAGCAATGACGAAGAATTTTGATCGTGACATGCGTTTTTTGTTGTCGTTGTTAGGATCGTCTTCGCCATCATCGCCATCGTTGTGAAGTGCGCTACAAAAACGATTAGTTTAGTGCGGGATTACAGTTAATCATATGGTTAAAGTATTACTCCTTCCGTTTCACAATAAATATTCACAATGAAAAGGAAGTATAGTTTTACAGATACGTAATTGTTATATATTTTTTAATTAATTAAATGACAATTTTATCCATAATTAAAGAAACTAAAACAGATACTTATTTTAGTAATTAGAGAGTAGAAAACAATGAATCCAACGCTATATGTGTAAAGCAGGTTATGTACAACTGGGATGATGGTTACATCCGAATAACAGGCAAGAATAGCTCCAAACAGGAATAGGATGTGAACAAGTCCCTTTTATTTATTTATATATATATATATGTAGGGTTGGTTCCTATGAGAAGACGAGTTAAGATGAGAAGCGTAAGAAGGGATCTCCACCCTTAGATGCACATTAGGATGGGATGCACCGGATCAGTCCCATATCAAGTGCGATTCACGGGTGTGTTTGAGATTAAAGGTGATCAAAGATCCAGATTCCTTCTTACGCTTCTCATCTTAACTCTTCTTCTCACACGATCGTTCGCCTATATATATAGTTGGGTTCAAACAAGAATAAGTAAAAAACACAAAAGCGTCTATATCACATGTGATTAAAAAACGGTCACCTTGAGGTTTTGACCGTTCCTTAATCACATATGAGACTAAGTATACATCAAATGTGATATTGGCATTCTCGTGTTCTTTTGATTTTGACTTTTATTCTCGTTTAAACCTCCATGTAATATATATATATATATATATATATATATATGTGTGTGTGTGTGTGTGTGTGTGCGCGTGTATACTCCCTCCATCTAAAAATAAATGTCCATAGTGAAAAAGTCGCACAACATTAAGTATATGTAATTATTTCATATGATTTTTTTCCATTTAAGTCTAAGACTATAATTTAGAATATTGATCAACATATATTTGTTTCATAATGTGTTTGTTTCACAATATAAAAACCTTTATGATGTGTTTGTGAACAAAAAATACAAGTAAAAAAGTTTCACATTGTAAAACAAATATATGTTAATCAATACGTTAAGGGAAAAGTTCAAAAAAACCCAACAAACTTTCTCATTTTGAATGGTTTAGTTCTTAAACTATTTTTTTAATGAAAAAAACTATTAAACTTTTTCATCTTAAATGATTAAATCCCTAAACTATTTTTTTGAATAAAAAAATCATTAAACTCTCACATTTTAAATGATTAAGACCCTGAATTTTTTAAAATAAATAAATAAACCATCAAAATTTTACTAGTCAATTAATGTAATTTAGTATTAAAAGGGTATAAATAACCAATTTTTAAAAGTGCAAATGGTTTATTTATTAAAAAATGTTCAAAAACTTATTCAATCAAAATGAAAAAGTTTAATGATCTTTTCCATTCAAAAAGATAAAGTTAAATGGTCTTTTCGATAAAAAAAAAAAGAATAATTTATAGATTTAATCATTCAAAATGAGAAAAAGAACGGTTTTTTTACTAAAAGAACAGTTTAGAAACTAAACCATTCAAAATGAGAAAGTTTGTTGGATCTTTTGAACTATTCCCATACATTAAATACTATTAGAAGGGTACTCGCGCAATGCAGCGAAATAGATCTGCATAGATCCGGAGATTCCCGAATAGGTTAACCTTTCAAACTGCTGCTGAATCCATGGCGATTTTATTATTTCATTTTATTATTTATCTCAGTCGATATTATAGTATGACCTTATGTGATTTTGAGAAAGCGATTATGTTTTTATTTTTGAATAAAATATAAATTTGAAGATATTATAAAAAATTTGACAAAAATATATCGATATTAATATCAAATTAACTATTTAAAATTCCTTATTTTTTATGTAATTTTTTAATTCAATTATTTTATTATAATTTAATTTAGGTACAATAACGAATTAATTTATATTTGGTTTAATAATATAATTTTCTTATAAAGATAATGATTAATTATTTTGTTAGAACTCGATAATTATCCTAGTTATATTTTAGATTTTTTATATTTTAAAATGAGATATTTATCCTCTATTTGATTATGTTTATCCACAGTTAGTTATACGAATTTAAACATTGAACTTTAATAAGTTGTATTTATGCATATTTTACTTGTAATTTTGAATTTTAAGTAGTATGCATCAATATATAGTATTGTATGCAAAAAAGAATAGTTTTAAGAGTTTTTGTCACATACTTTATAATATAACTAGAAGGGTACTCGTGCAATGCTTCGAAACACATCTTGATTTCAGTGTTTCGTTTTATTCCCTTTTTATGTCGATATAATACGGTTTTATGTGGTTTTGAGAAAACGATAATGTTTTTATTTTTGAATAAAATCTAAATTTAAAAATATTATAAATTTTTTAAAAAAAATATCGATATCAGTATCAAATTAATCTTTCTAAAAGTTCTTGTGTTTGGTGTAATTTCCTTAATTCAATTTTGTTAATTATAATTTAATTTAGGTTTAATAATATAATTTTTATAAAGATAATAATTAAGTATTATGCTAGAATTTAATGATTATCTTAATAATATACTTTAGATTTTTTTTTATTTAAAATGAGATATTTATCATGTATTTGATTATGTTTATCTACAGTTAGTTACATGAATTCAAAGATAGAGCTTTAATAAGTTGTACTTAAGCACAATCTACTTGTAATCTTGAATTTTAAGTAATATACATCAACAAACAGTACTTCATACATAAAAAAAATAGTTTTTAAGAGTTTTTATCAAATATTTTATAATATAATATAAATATGAATAATTAAAAAAAAATCATGTGAAATAAAACCTTAATTTTTTAAATAATTATGTCGGGCGGAGGAAACAAACATACCGAAAGAGGGAGATCTGAACGAGGGTGCTGGGCCACCACATGTGTGACGGTTCAACTACGTATTTCCTTAGGAGGCCCGCCCAACCATACCCCAAAACCTACATCATTATCATATCGTCCACCATCGGAGCATGTTAGCACCATCCCCTACACTTTTTACTTTACTTTTTTATGTCCTTTCAAACCTTTTTTACAAAGAAAAAATATATAAATATTTAAAAAAAAACTTTTTAAAACAAAACTTTTCTTTCCGATGTAAAAGGAAATGAAATAAAGAAAAAAAACAACTAATATTAAATTTATTATAAGTCAAAAGAGTTTAACTTTTTTAAAAACTTTTTATTATCGGTTTGACGTTAATATAAATTATTTAGGGGTGTTTGGGATTGTTTATAAAAACTGTTTTTTAACTTATTTTAGTCTGGCACTGATGATAAGCTGTTTTCTGGTGTTTGGATAAGAAAAAAAACTGCTTATATCGGTGCTAAACCGGTAATAAGTTGTTTTTGATAAGTTAATCATTCCTGACTTATGAAAAACTGCTTATTATCGGTATACAATTTTAATCTTGTTTTATTTAACTCTGGTTTGATACCATGTAAATTAATAAGCATATTTACAAAAAAAATATAAGTTGTTTTAAATAAGCAAACTCAAACGCCCCCTTAGAAAAAAAAAAAAAAAAAAAAAAACAGCGAATTATGAAAAGAGAGTAAAAAATTAAACCTGAGTCGTAATAATCAGCAGCCACGCCGCAACGAAAGATATATCCCGGATATAAAACGC